TTATCTGTGACAAATAAAGCCATTCTTATTATTCGTTTCACAAACTGTTTGGCTTTGTTCTTTTTAAAAAACTATGACATTCATATTATAACTACGAAACAAAATACACCCACATTTATTTACTATTTATAAGTAGCTAGAAAGATTGAATTTAGTCTAAAGATAAATATGTCAGAAAATAAACGCATATACGAAGTTTCTTATGCGCAGTCGACTAAGATAGAAAACAAAAATTTAAGTCAAATCATAAAATAAAAAGGAGTTTTATGTTACAAAATAGTTTCATAAAATAAAAATACATTTTTATTATTTTATTATTATTACAAGAAATAAATCTTCGCCGACCACGCATTGGGGCCAGTTAAGCATAAATAGGCCAGTGACTATATTTAGGAACCACAAATTACAAATAATACATTTATAGGATTATAAAAATGACATTTTGTATGATAACAAAAAAACATGTTTTTCTTTTAATCTGATGTAGATTTTATGGTGCAATAGACTGAATACATTAAAAACACTTTATAATAAAACATGATATAGAGGCATAGATATTATGTTTTCCTATTTTGATTTCTATTTTATATTGTTAATACATTTTCAATCAGGTTATTATGAACCATTTTATACAATCTTTAGGTATAATCCTTTAGATACTCAGTTACAGTTATGAAGATATATATTTTATTCACATATACATAACACAGTTATAAATATTTTATTATTCTGTAACATAATAACATGATGTAACATAAATAAAATTTTAAATTTTGTAACATAAATAATAATCCTATTAATAAAATTTGCAAATAATGTCACAACATTATTGTAAAGATTATTTATTTTGTTTCCATATTCTTGATACATGAAATCAATTTTGCGCCATCCGCTACGAATCACAACTTAACAAAGGAAGGACTTATTGAATTATTCATAGTTTATCGGACCAAAAATAATATATTGTCAATTTTCGAACGTTGAATTTTCGGATCGCTTCGGGGTCTAAGTATATTTATTTTTAATATTCTGTTATAACACCCCGTATATTATGAATAAATATTTTATGCATAAATAGGGAGTATAGTGAATGTATATTTGTTTTACAGTAGTCAGATGAATAATATTTCTAACGAAACATATTTTATTTAATGAAAACTTTAAATTTTTAGGACGGTATACGAAAATAAATTTTAATATCGCTGTCCTAAGCTTAGTTAGTTACAATTTTGCTGAAATTAAATTAAAAAAGTTTCCAAAGTTGTTAATGAAACGAAAATTCAAATATAGAGGGGTGCTTAGGTACTTTTAAATTAACTTGATCTTATCGATGGAAATAATATCGAAATTTTTTTGACACTTTTACCGTCAAGCGTCACATTTTCCTTTTTTCTTGAAAAGTTTTAATAAGTTTCGTATTTCTTTTCTATCGATAAAATCATTAACATTGACACCATATCGCCATCTCCCTTTGTATCAAAATCTGTTCCATTTTATTTGCCTACACACAAAACGAACGAAACACTCTTCTACAATGATCTCTTTCGCCATATATTATGTACACTATCAGTTCGTTAAAACTACAAAACAAAAACGACCTTATTACAATAGAGATAAGAATCTGAGGAATCTAACACGAACGACATTTAGATAGAAATGTGAAATTTTATATTGATAGTACTGTGTCGAAAATAAGAATAGTTGACCGTGAAGTTTATAAGAAAAAAAGCCATGCTAGAGGCTTGAGTCTAGTTTCAAGCCATGTTAGAGGCTTAAGTCGAGTTCCTCGTCGAACAGTTACGTGAATAAGCTAAAAACATAATAATCAACCAAATGTAGTGAAAGATAACTAATAACTCAGCATCATTTTACAAGACAGGCAGTTCTAATCTCAGAACTACGATTTAATTTACACATTGTCTACTGATGCCTAAAATCCACCTTTCCAATACGTTCATTATAAACCCGCCGCGTATTACCTCTGCTTCATTTACGACAAACGACATGCGTGACGTCATCCACGTCAATCTCTTTGAACAGTATTTATTCGGCTTCACACGTGTCAGTTTCATTAAAATCAAGCAAGCCCCAAGGACACACGTCACATTTCATCGTGCTAGTCTGCTTTAACGTACATTTATTTATCAGAATAATCTCCTACGTGGCAAGAAAAGCCTTGATTGGAAACGTTTTCTTCCATTCTCTGAGATGAATATTTAAATATTCCATCAATATGTTTTCTATAGCTTGCCTACTTTCAATCTTAATGAATATTCAGCTAGCGTGTTCAAACGAACCGTAGTCAATGAGATGTGATTAAAATTAAACTTTGCTTCCGAGCACTTGTGGACTGGAAAAGTTTTTCGACGGCAATTTGTGGCGAAAATCGAAGCAATAAGGAACTTTGATTGAAAGTTAAGCACACAAGTTGGCATTCAATTGTGCTTGGAAAACTGTAATTGTCTTGAATTTGATTATGGACTATTTTATTGTTGGCTTAGTAGGAACAAAGAAGTCTAAGAAGCTTGTATTTATTTAAAAAAATGTTGTAAACCTCGTTACGGTTGGATGGGGCTTTGAAGATAGTAATGAATTTGTTGTATGTTATTATAAATTTAGATTAATAACAGGAGTAATATGTATATTCCCAATATAATGAAGGTCAATTAAATAATAAGTGATGCAACAAATCAATCGATACAGTTTTACAAGGGCAACATTTTAAATATTAAATCACGGTAACAACACGCAACTGACAGACACAGTACTATCGACATTCCAATAATAGAACTCTATCGAATATTTATGTAGAATGACTAGTATCGACTTTTAAATATAGCTTAAGACGTTATTCTTCGCAATAGTTTGTATCATTCTTATAGTAAAATTTTGTCACATAAATTTTGAAAGATATAAATATAGGTTGGTTAAAATTTATACGTTACACTCACATTATAGATATAAAGAATCTAAAATTCTAAAATGTACGTTCAAGGATACAATACGTGTACAAGACCTAAAAGTAAAATGTAAGGTAAAAATTTTCAGATAGGATGAAAATACGATGAAGCCGTAAGCATAAATATGAAAGATTCTAAAGGAGGTACGGTGAAAATTTTTAGAAAAATCTACTGAAAGCGTAGAAAAAGGTCTACGATGAAAATAAATTCGAAAACAACAATATTGGTCCGAAGTCAGGCAGAAAATTTTATAAAGAGGTTGAACAAATCTAGTTTAATAAGATAGTTATAGGATAGACGTGAAAAGTAGTAAAGCGATACGATTCATCGACTAGATACTCTTATATCGATAGTGATTGACAATTTCATCGATATCGAATGAATAAAAGATGACATTAATAAACGACGTATTTGATGATATTTATATTACCATTTTTATTTTTAAAATCTAATCATCATATCAAATCGATATAAGGTTTTAATCAGACGTGGAAGCTAAGACGTTAAGTGATGAACATTAAACCAAAAAGGATTGAAAATAAGGTTCATATTAATATTATACTCTAAATACAATTTCTAAATATAGCGATAATATCGTTTAACACAAGCCATCTAAAAATAAATATCAACGCTCTTATAATTATGGCAGTACTTATCTATATGAATAATTTCGTATTGGTGCCTTCTAAAATAACGGCTTTACTTAATTGCACCGTATTTTTATAATCGTGTTCTTAGCTTTGATGTTCTAAAACAACTTTGATGTTTTTTAAATTTTATTTCATGCCATAAATTTTCATTTTGTCATTACAAAATTTATGTCAAGAAATAAAAATTCATTTTTATGATTTTACGAAATAATTATTTTGCGATTTTATTATTTCGTGTAATTTCATTATAATAATACGCTTTGAAAGCGATGTTTATTTTTATTATTTGATATTATGCCGTGTAATAGTTATCGCTCCGAGCATTAGTTTTATCGCAGTTTTGTAAGCTTAGCATGGCCAACTGCTTATATATTTTGAATTCTCTTCTTAAGCTTGATCTAATGCTAAATAAATCAGAGTTTATTGTACTATTTACATAATTCTCTCCAGTAGACTATTACCCAAGAAACTCAAACGACACTCAAGTATAAGATGATCTTGTACGTACTTTTGTCGCAGCAATATATTTTGTAGAGCGACAGGGCCAGCGATATTGAGCTCTAAATTAAAGACTATAGAGCTTCTGAATGCCGTTTTCGTATTTAGATATCGTTGTTATCTTACGACTTGGCTGTGATTAAAATGGTATAGTGTAATGTTAATCTTTTTTAAAACCATGGAAAACCTAATAAAAAATAGCAACGATTTTTCTAAAAGTAGGTTTTGTTATGTCGAATTATTAAAGAAATTCTTTAAATAAATAATTAATGAAGTAAAATTAAGACTTTTTGTAGAACATACAAAGAAGATAATGTTTGCAAATGACATGCCTAAAAGTTAAAATTCAGATTAAAAAGTTTACATTATAGTTTTCCAAAATTATCAAATTTTAATCAACCAGGTTCACAGTTGTACCGTTTCGAGTTCAATGCTCACATTGACATCCACCACCCATAACTCGTTATTATTTAACACCATTCATTTTCCATTCTGTCCAATAAATTCTGCCAATAATAGTTATAGCCAAACATTAATTGAAATGACGGAGAATATAAATCCAACTATTATTTGGGTAACCAGAAAATGTTAGGGAATTAATTTCAAATTTTATGTACTTGGAATTAATTTCAAACTGAATAATAGATAGTCCGATGTCAAATAATTACGATCACCGAACTGAAGGCAGTCCTAAACGTTACTTAAATCGTTCTTATGAAGAAAGAAATGTTTAAATAAGAAGCAAATATTTTTGGTGGTCCTTATTAACCGTACAAATAATCAAAAAATAAAAATTTAAATTGTATGTAATACAGGACAATCCCACATAAATTAAATTTCTGCCAATAATAATAACTGTATCACAAAATTGATTTTATAATTTAACGAATCATTTGCATACATAATAATATTTACCATCGTTAAACAACTGCAATTGCCAACCAAGTTTATATCTCCTGTTGACATGATTCGATAAAATCGAGTTCAATTTTGTTTGAAAACGCAACCATTTTCCAAATTAACGATTCATCGGTAATCGACAAATTTATATCGATAACTCAGTAATTGCAATGGCACCACCGATTTAATCACAGCCGAGTGGTTTCAACACTAGAATGAAATCAGTAGAACTAAACTTGTCTAAATTTGAACCATGTAAATGTTAAATTTGAGTTGAAATTGGCATAATTAAAACATTCATATTTTTCACACCTGACGACGTTGTATTTGGCCGCCAAAAATGGATTCTGTTGATGACGTCATGGCTAAAATTTAGACAAAATGATCCTCTTCAATAATCCTGTATGAATTTACGTGACTGCAAGTATTTACATAAAACCTAAACATTATTTCTCTAGCGGCAACACACTAAAACACACAAAAATTAATCTACCACTAATAAAATATGTACAAAAACAAATTGGCTTCCATAAATTATTATAACGATTGTAATTTGCAACATTATACTCCAATAATTAAAACTCTCGCAAATTCCAATCGCTAACGAGTCTATCGCCAATTTCCCTAACATCGTTAATCGCTACAGGCTCTAAATAAACCCGTGTGTACAAAATCTTGGCTCGCATTATTAAAATGTTCGTCGTCACGTTTCAAATTAACTGTGTTAATTATGACGGCGCGTCTGGCGGTTTCATTATAACGAAAAATCCTATCATGATGTTGTTATTAGAGATACGCACATATTAGTAAAGAATTTCTGCGTATTAAATATCGGATTTTAATTTTATAACAATTACTTATTTACTTTGTGAATTACTGTAGGTATTCATTTTGTCAAAATATTGGTATTAAAATTTTTATTTTCATTTTAATAAAAAGGAAAGGCAAATTAAATTGCACGGTCGTTGCAAATGAAAATAAACACAATATCTATTTAAATCGTAAATCTTTATTACAAAACCCAATTATCTTTATCCTTGGCAAACAAAGAAAGCATTGGTTTTAATGTACAAATAAAATGTTAAAATTGATACGCTGCAGATAAAAATACGCATTTTATATAATGATACGCAAAATTCTCTGCCAATACGTGCGTATTATTATACCATTTAAATAATCTTGCAAATACTATAATACGCCTAAAATGATGCATAGAATTCGTTTTTATTTTTGATAAATCTATTTATATATCTATTTATACCACAGCCGGTAAGGCTACAATTATTAATTATTATCAGGTTATTAGAGAAAGAGAAGGTTCTAGAAGGAAGAAAGAGTACATTTGACGTCTAAACCTGTACATTTGAGCACATAGATCATAGAGCTAGTTCAGATGCAGCTGATTGTACGAACATAACCTTTTTTGGTACTTTAGTAAGGAAAATTTTGTTACTATTTTAATAATTTCATTCATTGCTCTTGAAAGCCAGAACATTCTATTCATGTTAATAAAATTATCCTGTTATGTTAGTAAAATACAAAATAATGAGGTCACATGACTGTCGATTATTCTATAATTTCTGAGAGAAGACTGGAAAATTAGATCCTTGATCACTGAGATATTGAAAATTGTATATTTCGTTGTGTGTATTAAACCCGCTGACCATCAGCTGCTGTGACGCCCATCCGAACACGCTTAACGGTACATATTTAGACTATTCTTACAATAAATTCACCATAACCCACAATGGCACTTACGACATCATTGACTGTAACATTCGTTTATATTAGAAGTACAACTCAAGCCAAAACGTTGTAAGCGACAATGTAGGTTTTGCTGATTCTAATAAGCACTTAATATTACCAGATTTTGGACATTTAGAAGCCTGGGATGACGTCATAGGCTTCTAAGCTGGACATGGTGAGGTAAACCAGCCAGAGGGAGAAGAAAAACATGGAGGTGATGATCTTGATGACCTTGGGACCTCCGAGCTCCCCTCCAATGCTTTTCCGTCTTCGTAGAACGAGGACTAAGACTGCTATGCAGGCTTCGGAACAGTACATCGTTACGCTGAAGGCTAGGCTGTGGAAGAAGATTTTGGTAAGAAAATTGAATAAAGTGTGTGTGTATTTATACGGGTAGGAGAAATTGATAAGAAACAAGATGTTACTTACTTTCCAGGGTCAATAGAAAACTTTTCGCCCTTGCTCCAGTGGACAATAGCAGCCAGTGTCCACGCGACTCCAATGCCGAGGAACACGTTGACTGCATTGGATCCTGTCACGTTTCCTACTGATGCATCTGCATATTTGTCTTGACACGCAGCTACCTTGCTCGCGAAGGTGTCTAAGCAGAAAAAAAAATTGGGTAAGTCAATGAAAAGCAACTTGGTAGTTAATTTTTCGCACTATACTATAAAATTGTATATAGTCTTAAAGGAATGCCTTGTAGTTAAAAAGACCATCTTCTCCTTCGTTTCTTTATTACGTATGTCGTGTCTGCATAGAGAATTCTTATTTAAACGTAGCCCTCATGAGTTCCTATTTTCAACATGTTTATTTTATCCTGTGTCATGACATGTGAGTAACATTAGGATTTTCTCTTGTGTCATGGGTACGTTTACAAACATACAAGTTCACATACACATGACCCCTAGACCTGGATAATTAAATTTTAATTCATGCTTCTCAATCATCGATATTCAGTTTTATCAGAGTATTATTAAAATGTTCGTATTATTAAATTCCCTATAATAATACGAAGTCTAAAAGTACTTAACAAAAATCATTACTAACAAAAAAGTTTTGCTGAATTTTAAGTACATTCTATTGGAGACTATCAGGCGTAGTCCTATATCCAGTTACTCCAACCAAGATTTGGCAGCTATGCCAACAATTTCATGAACAATTCAGTTGACATTATGAAACAGTATTATTTATGACCCAAAATTAATTATAGTCTCATCTTGCGGTTGGAATCCATTTACTTGAGTTCTTGGTAACCGTTGCGGAGGAAAGAAGGTTGACAGTAAATAATACCATCAGCTGAACAAAGGAATATAGTACCCACATTTTTCGCGATCTAGGTCATATTAATTAATCTTTGTGTTCTAGATTAGTATGTACATTAAGATTAGGCTTATTATTATACGAAGAGAAAGGTAGACTGCCTTGTTGGCAAGGGATCTCGGGTTCGATTCCCGGGTCGGGCAAAAGTATTAAGTAGGTACGGGGTTTAAAAAAAAACTCAGCACGGAGTCTAGAATTGTGCCCGGTATATGGCAATAGGCTCACCCCCTATTACATGGGGCTCATAACATAAATAGTGAAATGTGAGTGTTACATTGTACAGTGGCATTAATTGCCGCAATGTGCACCTCTGCCTACCCCTTCGGGAATAAAAGGCGTGTTGTTATGTTATGTAGTCATATTTTTTCCAATTTCTTCCATTAAAAATACATGTGTAAAGAAAAGTTTTTATAAATGTATATCTACTTCAACTAAAAACCTTCGCTATTTTACATAATCATTACAAAGAAAAAGAAGAAGTTAATAAAAGACCATACTATCAAAGGAAGGCTTAGAAAAATCTAGCACAATTTTCTTTGCAAAAGGACTTACTTATTTTTTAATCCTACTTCGTCCGAAACCTAAGCCGTACGTTCGCTAAGAACATAAGCATCGCTTGGAGCAGTGTTCCTATCTTAAACACGAAAAGATGGTTTCCTAAAGCCGATGTAGTAAATCGCTTAGCTTAAAAATATAGAACGAAATCAAGCTATATTTATGGTTGTTAGAAAGTAGCCTGTTATACGTCGAAGAAAAAAATATTTATAGTACGTTTATTTTTCGAAAATGATGCTTCAAGTCTTATACAAATATAATTAAAATAAAAAATTCTCTGCTTAACCAGAAACTTGAATTTAAGACGCCATACTTCAGTAGTCGTTTGCTAATGAATGTCTGCAATATGGCACTGTGTGGGAGAACCATGCTTCGGCACGAATGGGCTGGTTCGACCGGAGTGATACCAAAGCCTCACTGAAAACCGACGTGAAGCAACGCTGGCGTTGTGTTTCGTCGTGTGAGTGAGGTTACCGGAGGCCCAATTGCCCTCCCCTTCCGCAATCTCCCCAATTCCTGAATCCCAACGATCCTCAAACTCCGAATCCCCAAAGGGCCGGTAACGTACTTGTAACGCCACTGATGTTCCAGGTGTCCATGGGCGGTGTCGAATGCTTACCATCTGGTGATCCGTCTGCTCGTTTACCGGCTTATGCCATAAAAAAATACTGTACTGAGATCAGATGTACCTAATCTAATCGACTTTTAATTTTTCATTCAAGTTTTCACACAATTATGACTTTTGGTCTTTTTCGGATAAAATAAAGCAATAGCTAGTCTCATAACAACTTACCAGGAATACTCGTTCCCAAGGCAACAAACACAATAGCTGTGACTGAGTCCTTAATGCCCAGGGTACACCCAAAGTGTGAGGCCACATCGCCAATCACCGCCGTCACTATACCGATGCAAATGATCGAAACCACGAAACAGACGTAACCGCCACCGATATCTGTTGAAGAAGAACGAGTTTTATGTTAAGGAGACTAGAAGTTATTGTAGGTTGTATTTGTTATGGAGATATTACTTTATGAATGTTGATGAATGCTAAAGTAGAGGTTTTGGGTTTCGTGTTATTGTATCTCGCTTTGGCTTAGAATTTTTGTTGGTACGATTCCTTATTTTAACATCAGTATTTTTAAAATATTTTGATTAATCAGAATGTATCGATTGATTTAGATGATTAGATTCAGGTACACAAAATAAGTTTTAAGCTACAATCTTACCAGTAGGTGGTATCAAAGCGAAGACAATCTTCCAGAATAATGTGACGATGTGCAGCACGTAGTCGAAGCACGAAGGTGGCTCGTCAGGGTCATCAGAACCTAAGAGTAGATAGATGTCAATGGAAATTAAAATTTATTTCTCAATGAATAGGAGTTCTATTCCTTATATTCATATTCAAATTTTACACCACCTCCTGTAGTTATATTAAAATTATACATATGTAGATAATAAAACTGCTCTTACACCTAGAGTTGTCTATGTGAATTATGTTTTCTTTTTTGTATTTGATGGGTCGACGATAATTTCATATCAAGAAATAGCGTCACTCTATCGACTCGATTTTAATAATTATTACAACCGTTCAAGAAATCACTGTAGACTAGTATATTTCACAAAACTTTCAAAGCAAATAAGTACTTTAACAACCAAAACTTAAGTTTCCATTTACTTCATCAAGGGTTTAGATAACTATAAATAGTTAGGACTCACCTGAGCTTGCTGTTAACGCTTCTGAAAACTGTTCCTTCCACGAAGACGTGCCTATGATAATTGATGCGTTCGCTCTTTGAACTAATTTGTCTACTGTGTTCTGAAACAAGACCATTGACATTAACCCTTTGAGTACCATCATTATAGACACAATTAAAGAACAATTTACAGTCACAGTTTAATATAAATATTCATACAATTGATTGACTGCACGGTTGGAGCCGACTGCCACGCGACGTGTAGCGGAACCGATTCCAGTACGAAGCAATTCTTTGTGTGATCCACAAATGTAAGTACGTTTGTTAATGCACCCACGACATAGGAGAAAACCCTAGTGTGGGGAAAAGTGTTTCATTTTTAATAACGAAAGAATGAAAAGAAAAGAAATATGCTAAGATTTCCTGTTCCTGCTTGTAGTGTCGAGGAAAACAAAAACAAAACACACTCATAATATTTATGGCATTCATTTTACACAATACATGATTCTGTTTTTAATTATATCATCAAAATGAATAAAGACAGTTTAATAAGTTTTCTTTTACTTCGCCTGTTTAAAAATGAAGTCGTTAAGTCAAAGTCATAATCATTTATTTCAATTAGACCAGGATGGCATTTTTGAACGTCAACAATAAAAATTTAGAAGTAAAGATAGTTGCTCATTACAAGATGTAGATTCCTATGGATAAGAACTATACCTTGGAATGAGCTAATGAGAGAAGAAGAAGAGCTAATGAAAGCATAAGATGTTTATAATTGTAAAAATAAATTAAAATCTAATTCAAAGCTATGAATAGCATTAAGAATCAAATTATAATATAAACAGTAAATAAAATCGAATAAGATGAAATCAGTTCCTGATTGTGCCGATAACAATTTGGTTCTTATAATAAAACATAGCTACACTTGATGATCTACTTACTTTAAACTCCTTGCTCTCTTTAATCCTGAGCTGCGCTCTAGTAATTTCTCCAGCTCTTGGCAACCCCATCATGGCGACCACTGCTTCCTCCTCCGGTAGGGTTGCTAGATGATTGGCTTCATTTCCAGTCGCCACAGGGTTGTCATCATCTGCGGAAGAATACCATGTTAGAGACATGAAGAGAAGGGTGAAGAACATCACATTTTTCTGGTTTTATTTCCTTTTTTTGTAGGGTCTTGAAAGAAGTTGTATAATGGTGATGATTATCTAGCGACAACACCTTGAACTTACCTTTACGAATCCTGATATACTAATGATGGTATAATGATTTCTGTCTCTGGAGCCCTTACCATCCACCGGTAGCTTGGACCATACTCCCGCTACTGGTCGGCTCCTATTTTTTAATATATTTTTAAATTGTATTTTATTTTTGTTTAGTTGTATTTAAAATGTAATTTTAAACAAATATATGGTATAATAATAATATGACTTAGAAACTCGATTAAAAGTAAAATGTGTACTTGCAAAATATATTTAACCTTCAACAGCACACGTTAAAACTGATTATTAAATGCTGATGTTTGTTGTAAAAAAGAGAAAAGTGATGCATTCTACATTAGCGCATATTACCTATTAGTATACACTACATATCTAAATCGTAAAGGGACATCTAGATGACATTTTCCAACTGTCCAACGATGAATGTTATACGAAGGGTTCCATGTTCCATTACGGATATTAGAGTGCCCGACTTCCGCAATTAGGATACGAAATCAGATAAACGTAGTGTATGTATGATTAAATCCCCTATTACATGGGACTCATAACATAAATAATGAAAAGTGGGTGTTACATTGTACAGTGGCATAAAGTGTTGTACTGTAATGTTCACCTCTGTCTACTCCTTCAGGAATAAAAGCCGTAATGTTATCCTTGGGACATTTGGGTAAAAATATGAGTATAAAATTCCCATTTCTTGTTCGTTTAACGACTTTCAGAACTGAACACGCCTATGCACTTTTACGTAATCCTACAAAGAATAAAAATTCCAAATTTTCCTAAACTTTTAATAATAAACCCAAGTTAACTTGACGTTTCTGTTTCGAAACTCATCTCGTTGTGGGTTATATCTCCAGGGCAGTTCAGTTTTTATACGCACTTACACTGGAAGGGCAAAACGTGACTCGATTTGTAAATACATGCGAACGTTCATCCCCTATCTGTTTTGGGGGCTGCCAGGAATTTTAAACAAGACGTTTACTAAGTTAGATGTTATAGGGAGCAAGAGAGGTAATTTGCATACACAGGCATGAAGTAGGTCTTGGATTAGATTTCCGGATCAGAATATAATGTCTATACATTACTACATATTTGCTTGAGAAAAATATTATTTGCAGACCAAAACGTAATGTATAGACAGTAGCTATTGTTATATAAAATAGGGCTTTTTTATATTTTTTTAAGGGGGGAAAATTATCGAATGACTGCTCCCGCCTGGGTGAGGCGGGAGGGAGTGTCAGACTCTTACTGACTAAAAACCACCCCGTTCCTTCTCCTGCACGTCGTCTAATGTCCATCTGGTAGAATATTTTACACCGTTACACAAGTATTTTTTATGTTCTTACAGAAACGAATACTTTTGACGATGTACGTCACTTATATGTACATTTTATACATAGAAATGATGTTTTAGCCCCCACTCCTAAACTTTGATTCGTTATATCTAAGTATTATTTTATTATACAACAAAATAAAAAAATACGTGTCTATTATTTTTTCATTACCTAACTGACGGACTAATTAGATTTTTAATTTTCATACCCTGTCATCATCCCTATTGTACGCTTTATTGATAAAACAAAATTAAGCCATAACTTGATCGGTTCAGTAGCTAACCTACGTATGGTAATTCTCCTTTTTTTAATTAATTTCTTTTTTTATACCTCGATACCAAACTGTACCTACATCTGGTGCAAATTTTAGCGTGGGAGAGCCATGCTTCGGCACGAATGGGCCGGCTCAACCGGAGTGATACCACGGCCTTACAGAAAACTGCGTTGTATTTCGTCATGTGAGTGAGGTTACCGGAGGCCCAATTACCCTCATACTCCAATCACCCCAATCCCTGAATCCCCAATGATCCTCAAATTCTAAATCCCCAAAAGGCCGGTAACGCACTTGTAACGCCTCTGGTGTTCCAGGTGTCCATGGGCGACGCCGATTGCTTACCATCAGGTGATCCGTCTGCTCGTTTGCCAGCTTGTCCCGTAAGGCTTTCCACAAATTGAACCATTCTCAACTTATGTTAAATTATGGTAGATACCCAGTAATGGTATTAAGGTATGCACCTTAACAACAGGTATGTACCAACGTCCATTTTTTCGAATACTATGTTTAATATTACAATAATATTACTCACACAACATGACGCCTTTAATCCCCGAATGGGTAGGCAGAGGTGCACACAGAAGTAACACCCACTTTTCACTATTTATGTTATGAGTCCCATGTAATAGGGAGTGAGCCTATTGCCATATACCGGGCACATTTCCAGACTCCGTGCTACTACTGAGTTTTTATTTTTAAAAACCCAGTAATACTTTGCCTGACCCGGGAATCGAACCCAAGACCCCTTGCCCAGCAGTCGGGCTTGCAAAACTCGGCCATCGAGGCAGTCATAACCATGAGGCAATAATATTATTAACATTATTATCAATTCAAAACAAAAGCCGCACGAAATTGAAATAAAACGCTTAATATTTTGTCCCGAATAAAATGTACGGGACCTGAATTCAGTATGATGGACAGTCAGATGTATGACGGCGGTACTGATTAGGTATTCCACTGACTCCCTCATGAAGCTGAGGGAATAGTGAACAGTTTATGCCATATGCGCTTATGTCATTTTGAATATATGGATTTCCCGAAGGGATAGGTAAAGATGGTGTTTGCTGTGGCAATTTTTTTTAGCATTTTTTTATTAAGTTGGGCGTCCATCCGTGTTTTCCACATTTGTCCGAAAACATTTTTAAGTTCAACTATGAAACACAGTGATAATTTTAATACGTGAACTGTCAAAAAGTAGATATCACAATACCAACAATGTATAATAAATGTAGGTACACTTCTCTATTAAAAGGGCCAAAGGACGACTCCACGGTTGGCGCTGTGGCTCTGGTTCGATTGCCTCAACTCTGTGTGTGATCCACAAATTGTTGTTACGGGTCTGGGTGTCATGTGTATGTGATATTGCATGTTTGTAAACGCACCCACGACACAGGCGAAAATCCTAGAGTGGGGCAACGTTTTTTAAAAAAATAAAAATAAAAAATAATAATAATAAAAACGGTGTAAAATCAAGTAAAACCTTATCCATACTTATTTAGCTTTAATTACATTTGAAAGTACTCTCATTCCAAGTCGTAACACGTATACAGAAGTAAATTACAATGTAAAAGAACGCAATTAAACTGTTAATTACATTATCAAATCTTTACGATCAAATGAAAATGTAATTTATTTTGATTACAGTACGTACTAAATTCAATTATTTTACTTCCAAGGAAATGGTATAAGGTACTTGGATGAATGTGGCAGTCGCTTGGTTTAAGTATGTAAGATTTGAGGAATATACATGTAAATACAATTGGAGTGCCTGCTTGTAATATTAAAATAATCGATTTTTAATACATTTTATATGAATGTACAGTATTAATATAATATAATAATATATAATACAGTATGATTATATAGTACATACGATATGTAATTACGAAAATAGCACTTTTTAGAATTTTTATCTGTCTGTATGTTTGTACTGTCTAATCTCTGGAATGGCTGAACCGATTTTCACGGGACTGCTTTTTAGGTAGCTTATGTACTAAGGAGTAGCATAGGCTACTTTTATTTTAAAAGCACCCACTTTCCTCCAATAAAGATCAAAGTGTGAGATAAACCATTATTCTTTAAACCAATGTACCAGTCAATAAACCTAACGTATTACACTTTCCTACCTACTTCTAAAGAACGTAAGAGGCGTGAATATACATGTGTTTAGATAGATGAACACGTTGAGCCGATTCGTTTTACTGAACTGGCAATTTCACGGTCCGTAGCAATGTGTATTTGCACGAGTGTCGATTCACTAACACGATATTCGGGTCAGTCCACGCCACTCTCATTGGCTCTGAAGGTATGAGTTTTTGTTATATATTATTTACATAATACATAAATTACATAAATTTCACACCTTTTATCCCCGAAGGAGCAGGCAGAGGTGCATTACGGCACTGCCACTGTACAATGTAACACCCACTTTTCACTATTTGATGTTATGAGTCCCATGTAATAGGGGGTGCGCCTATTGCCATATACCGGAACATTATCAGACTCCGTGCTACTGGTGAGATTTTTTCATGCTACCTAAGGAGGAGGCGGGGCGCGTGAGGGAACGAAACTCCTCACGCCCTAACCGTCGGGGATCGCTAGATGATCTCCGGCCATCGTAAGCACGGGCCTGCGGACGTCGCGTTCCTCCGCGCGCGCCTCAAGAAGTCATCAGACCACCGTAGATGGGGCCCAATAGGCCTGATGCCGACACAGAGCCGCGGAAGGCTTAACGGGTTGCCGGGGCTCCGGCTCGAAATGCAGGAGTAGGATGTGGGGTGGTTTTTAGTCAGTAAGAGTCAGAAACTTGCTCTGGCCTCACCCGAGCGGCAGAAGCCATAGGATGATTTTCCCCTCTTATAAAAAAGGCAAGCTTTTTTGCCGCAGGACGAGAACGAAATAGATTTCACGGTGTAAGCACTCACTCATAAGTTGATTTTACTAGAAAAAAAATATCCAATTTTTCCTATAGCGCAACGGATTATCTGATGGCAAATGATCAGCATTGTCGATCGACATTTGCTTAACCAGAGAAGAAACAAGCGCGTTGCTGGATTTAGGGTGAAACCAAATGCAAGGTGTTTCATGTTTTATTCGTTCTTGGCATTCAGCTCCAAATCAACGCGAACACATAATGTGATGACAGCATTTTAGCAAAATAGTGCCAATAGCATACACGTACTAATATAATGAAATACACAAGCACAATTAAATATAATAGGTATGCATTATAATGAATAACCATTCAAAGCAACATTCATAT